AAGTCAGTGTACCGGGACGCGGGGTGAATTTCCATAGGGCATTTATGGATCGCACCCCGCTAGAATTAAACCGTCAAAACAGAAACAAAACTTCCAAAAAGCGAAACTGTGACATTTTTTCACATCCCAATGATTATGTTTTCGATCAAATTGACATTTAAATATGCTTTCTTTATTTTTCTGCATTTTGTGGCCGGGCGCAAGGACCGCGCGTAATACGATCGGAGTGGCAAACAATTTTAATACAGCCTTTTTCCGGAATTTGTGCACGAACAGTAAATTTTGGAGCTACAAGATTGCCATAAAAGCTGCTCAGAATGTACCAAAAACGATGTTTAGGGGTCTAATTTTTACGATTTCCTCCGGGGGAGGCCCCCCAGACCCCCCCTGCGCGGCTCGCTTCGAGCCACTTCGTGGCTCGCCTGCTACTTTTTCTTATCAGCCACCTACTCTAAATTTTTTTGAGAAGGCTGACTGTCTCTTGTCACGTGATACTCACATCAAGTCACATGGCAAGACAACTCCAATTTAGATCTTAATTAGGTTCCGAGACACATTTCTCCTCTTCAACCCGGTTATAACCGGGTTGAAGAGGAGAAATGTGTCTCGAAACCTAATTTGTGATCTCAAAAAAATATTAAACCTCCCCAGAGTAGATCATTTTTTGTTGTGACTGTTTCTTTATAATCATCAAGAGCAGGCATAGGTCTATTGAACTGAAGTGGATTGGATCCTCACGTGATAAAGTCCATGAATGTACAGAGTGGCTCCACAGACTGGTTGCGCATGTGCTGGAACTCAATCACCATCTTCTCCTTCAACTTGTCGTCAATCACGTTCACGGTCAGCGGAGACGGCTCATTGGCCAGGAAGTTGCCGTAATCCGTACTCGCCAGGTGCAGCTTGAGATCTAAGAGGACACACAACAGGGCTCCAAATTAACGGCAGGGTTCTAGCTAGCGCGAAGTAGCATAGAGGCCCCCTACGCTAAATTTCACCCCTACGT